CCTGCTGACTGTAATACATTTACCACAACATCTCGCATTGTGTAAATGTGCAGCACACAAAACTGATGGCTCTTTTATTACTACAGGCAACAATTTTGCTGACAGAGCCGCAAAACAGGCGGCACAAAAAACAAACATGACATTGATGGCAGTAAACACACATCAGATTCCGCTGGATGTGTTGCAAAGTGAACAAAAAGCAGCGAGCACAGCAGAGCAGGCAAAATGGCTAAAACACGGTGCAGTTCTGACAAACGACTTAATGATGTGTTATGGCAAGCCAGTGTTGCCAAAATCGCTCCACAAAATGGCGGCATTAGTGACTCATGGCTGTACGCATTTGTCATCGGGGGAATGACCTGTATTGTCAACACTCATTTTTACACTGTAAATTTTGAAACTTCAGCAAAACAATTTGTCAGAACGTGCATGACGTGTCAAAAATATAATGCTCAGGGTAACCTGCGACCACAAAGAGGCCGTTTTCCAACTCCGCCTCATCCTTTTCACACAATTCATATGGATTTTATTGAACTAAGCGAATGTCAAGAGTCAAAATACGCCCTAGTGGTTATAGACGTGTTCTCAAAGTGGCCGGAAATTTATCCAGTGAAAAAGGCAGATGCAATTTCAGTAGCAAAGTGCCTATGCAATCACTTCATACCCACATATGGCATCCCAGCTTTGATACGGTCAGACAACGGCACTCATTTTGTAAATGATGTCATCACTAAGGTCTCTGAAGCACTCGGTTTCAGCATAAAACACCACTGTGCTTATCACCCTCAGAGCGCAGGCCTTGTAGAGAGAACTAACGGCACTATAAAACAAAGGCTCAGGAAATGCATGGCAGAAACAGGAAGGCCGTGGCCTGAATGTTTGGGTTTAGTGAAGATGTGGATGCGCTTAACACAAGGCTCCCATAAACTAACTCCATTTGAAATCATTCATGGCAGGCCGTTTCCACTGCCTATTACCAGTCAACCAATAGACAAAGCAATCAGAGAAAACACATTAGCAGAATGGATGTCTAAGCTGTTAGAAAACAAAGAGATCGTTGTACATAATCAACAACCTGATGATGTTTCTCCAGTGTCTTGCAGACTAAAGCCCGGTGACTGGGTTCTGATCAAGGTGCTCCAAAGGAAAAACTGGAGCACACCCAGGTGGGAGGGGCCATACCAAGTCCTCCTCACTACACCGACCGCTTGCAAAATTGCGGAACGACCATCCTGGATCCATCAGAGTCACTGCAGGCGTGTCAGTGAAGCCATCTAAACACAGCTGACGGCAGGCTTGCCCGCTTGTTGTGATCTCGCCCGGTGGAGGGGTCAGCTTTCCTGGCCGGGGGGTCTACTCGCGACAGGAGGGTGTGTTTCGTCGTCATGAGGTGGTGGCTCTTATCAACTGCAGCGGCCCTGACCATGGCCGGGCTCCTCACCTTTGCTTCCGTGAGGGACAACAAGTCACGCTACATGGAGAAAAGGCAGACACTGTATGACAAAGGAAAGTACACCAAGTTTCCCCATGGATACGCCACTAACTTCTGGTGGCAGTTTATGAACACTACAGCTCACTTGAATAACAAAACTGACTGCTATGCATGTACCCATATGCCCCTATCCTCACAGACGTCTGGCCTGTGGCCGTACAGCATACCTGAAGATCGCAGTTGGTGTCTGTTGGGCCTGGCAACACATCCAGGCTACGGTACTCTTTGGTCCAAAGCCAACTACAGCATCCCAGCAAAAGCAACCTGGAGGTCATCATCACTCACAAATGTGAACTGTTCCGGACAGACCTACCTACTGACCTGGCCCCAAGTCTCAGACCCACTGCCTGATGTAATTCTACTGAACAAACTGAACGCATCACAACTGCCAGTATGTGTGATGAACAATGGCTCGCGGGCAGTGGGGGAGCTGCCTACTCACCTATGTAAGTCCATATACACTTTCTGCCCACCAAGGAACGAGAGGAAGTGTATGGCCTGTTCAATCAACGCCACCTGTGCCAGTGACACGACGCTGATGGGCCTAAACTGTCGCCCAGACTACAGCTACCGAATGCCACTACAAACAAAGACTCAGTACCAGACAGGATGTGCACGGACGGCACCCAGCAGCAGAGGAACCAGAGTTTTGGCTGACTGGTACTTCCTATGTGGCAACAAGGCTTATCTGTCACTCCCTGAAGGTTGGGGAGGTCTGTGCGCCCTGGTGGAATTATCAGATCACGTTTTCTTCATGCAAAGTGTTGCACATCACCCAAGCAGCCGGCAGAGACGCGAAGTGGACATCGCCTCCCCCAATTCTTTCGGCATTACCGTGGACACTGGAGTGCCGGGAGAGTTTCGCATCTGGGGAGGAGGAGTGAAATTCTTACAGAGCTTGATCCCCGGCATTGGAGTTGCCGAGGTGCGGGATCACGTGGAGATCAACCGATATGCTCTGCTACGACACATCAACTTGACTAAGACCCTGGGAACTGCCTTAGCAGGAGAACAGCAGGCCATCAGAACGATGGTGCTGCAGAACAGACTGACACTAGACCTGCTAACAGCATCACAAGGAGGAGTTTGCAAGCTGATCGGGGAAACATGTTGCACTTTTATCCCTGATGGATACGAAACTGGAGGAGACATTTATGAAGCTTTGCAGAATTTGACCGCTCTGCAAAAATATGTCACTGACCACACACCTGGAGCAGCTACAGCACAAGGCTGGCTTGACTGGCTGTTCAGCGGTTCATGGCTGGCTGCTGTAGCAAAGCCATTTTTTCTTCTAGGTCTCATCATGATAGCACTGCCCATATTAGTGTTGTGTGTGTTGCCATGCCTAAGAGTAATGATTTCAAAGATGATAACAACTACAATGACTGCTTATGTTGCCGTGCCTCAAGAAGAACAACATCCCGTTGCAATTCTGTTAGAGGAGAACTTGTACTAGCTGCTAATAAATGACGTGGTGATTAAAAATGACTTGTCAAGTGATCATGCACTGATTAAAACATTAGTAGTTTATGCAGGTTTTCATGCTTTTATTTTTTTTTTTTTTTTGAAGTCTTGACTTTTAAACATAAAGTTTTTCATTTTAAATACAACGTTTTCATGCTTTTATTTTCTTTGAAGTTTTCATTTTAAACATGAAGTTTTCATTATTTTACATATAAAGTTTTCAATTTAAGGTTTGCATCATTTTAAATATAAGGTTTTCATCCTTGTATTTTTTGAAGTTCTCATTTTACATATTAGGTTTTCATCATTTTTAAATATAAAGTTTTCATTTTACTTTTCATCCTTTTATTTTTTGTAAGTTTTCGTTTTAAAATATAAGGTTTTTATCCTTTATTTTTTGTAGTTTTATTATTTTTTCTTGTTTTTCCACTTGTTCTTTCATTTACTATGATTTTCATTTACTATGTTTTTTCTTTTCATTTTCTTTTGTTTTATTATGTTTTTCTTTTTATTATTTTCTTTTGTTTTATTCTTTAGACCAACTGACTGCCATTTCTGCTATGCTGACATTTTGAAGACTTTGGAAATTAAAAATTGCCTAAGATACTTAATAAATAATTTTCATAGACAATTGTTGTATACATTTAAAATAAGTTAAACAGGGGGGAATGTTACAGGAAAAATGATTCTATGTTTCTTTACCTTCTTTTAAATGTACAAAGATGCCTTTTGTCTGCCCTTTGCCTATGGTTAGATTAGTTTAGAATAATCTTTTTAGACTTTCTCAGCAAAGACATATTGTTTTGGGACATATTGTTTTAGATTGTTTTATCTCTCACAGCCTTCTCCCAGCTCTCTGCTGACGAGACTAGCGCCACATATGGAGTTGTTTATTTTATTTGTTTTGTATTTTCTTATCCTGTTCTCACTGTCTTTCCTATAAAAATTACCAAGCCACTGTGCATGGTGTGAGTTGTTCTTAGCAGCTCACCCGTGTACACGTTTGATAAAGAAAGTAACTTTGTCTCATTGTGTCTTTATTTCTCCTGGGTCTTTTACAGAGTTTTCCCCCAACAACTTTACATTAGGGACAGTGCTTCCTGTGAGGCGATCTTCACCACACCAGGGACTGTACTTTTGGATGATTCCATCCACATTACACCAGGGCCTGTGCTACTCGATGATACCATCCACATTTCAGCAGGGCCACTGTTGTTGGCTGAGGCCATATACTTTACATCAGGGACAGTGCTTCCTGTCAGGCCATCATCAGCACACCAGGGCCTGTGGTGCTGGATGATGCCAACAACAACAACAACAACAACGACAACAATCTTTATTGAAGGGAATCATTGCCATGGTAACAACAAATGGTAGTTAAAAAAAATGTAGCATTAACAAAGATGAGGAGATACATTTAATGAATACCAAATAAAGACACCTTCAATGCTAAAGATATCACAGGTGTAATGTAATGTTGCTATGGTTTAGATTTTATTTTCTATCATTCATAGACTATGATGTGTTTGTAGCCACATGGACATCTCACACTGTTTTCAGGACCCTGCAAAGAAAACAACATGGCCACCATGTTGGATTTTTGGAGTCACAAATCTGGGCTAACGTTAGCAAGCTGCATTCAGAGAAACTATGGATTTTGGGACTTGTGAGCCATACTTTTCGCTGGCAGCTTTATCTACATTTAAATTAAATCAATGTCTCTCCCAGAGCTCCAGTTCGGTGGCGTCTTATATGGCTCGATCACCTTACACTGGTACCAAGATCAAAGCTTTCAAAGTATGGACATCTACATGCGTTTTCGATCTGGATGGGTAAATATGGTTGTCATCAGAGAGGTGAAGAACAAGAAATTGTTGTTTGCTGAAATGAATGATCACGTGTAAATCTTATATTTTGTTGACTTGGAATTTTACAGTGAATCAGTCCTACAGTTTAAATGAGCCTCCATTGACAGACTAGGTTACTGTGGAAATGCAGGGATTGGCGTGATTTGACCTGTAAGGCAGGGTCAGGAGGGGTGTGTTCACATGTTGGTGCCATATTCTACGCCCTTCTGGCCGCTGTAAAGAAACACGAAAAGGCAGCAGCTATCCGGCATTTTGGCTAAACTCAAAGACGTTCATAAGATGGCTGGAGAGCAAAGGACTGCACTACTGTTTTGACTTTCATGTGTGCATGTCCCAGTAGCTCTGATGTCACGTGAAGACTCTTTTAAAGCAAAGAAACAGATGAATAAAATACTAGCATTTTACTCAGCAAAACTGAAGTGGATGGTTTGTGGATGGTTTGTAGCAGTTAGCAGGCCAGACTATTTGTCATAAAAAAAAATACTCCAAAACGCACCATGAGCACAAACACAGTTGAGAGGTTCAGTTCAGCCACAGTGTATTAGTGGAAGCCAAAGAGTTCATCAAAGAGGACATGCACCCAAACTTTAAGCCTCAGCAAAACTGAAGCAGTTTAGTTCTGAGAAAGAGTTCAGTTATCATAGACAGAAACTATCCATGTTTAAAGTTGGACATTTTAACATGGGACACCCATGATTCCCAGCCTCAAGTGGCCACTATTGGAACTGCATCTTTCAGCACCTCAGTGCTGCTTTTCTTTTCCAGCCCCAGATGATGTAGCTTTGTGTACCTATCTACACCCTAATTACAAACATTGGTAAAAAAAAAAAAAAAAAAAAGAAAAGGAAAAAAAAAGTTTTCTTAAGTTTCTAACTTTGGCTTGATTCATGGCTTCCTCTTCATTGGTCCATACATGATGTAAGTATGTATTCTAGTTGTCAACTAGAAAGTGCATTTTCTGAAGAAACTGCAGTGTGAATGCTTGAATCTGAATGTATGCATTGAAATGAATTAATTGCTGAATTTTAAGTTAAAAGTTTGAATGAGATAAAAAGAAAAAGAATTTAATCTGAAAACAAAAGTGCTGAAGTGCTAAAAGCTGACGTTTACACAGAAGAAGAAGTTGGAAAAAAGCTGAAAATGTTTTAATTGTAAATTAGAAAAACCTTAGAAATGAGAAAAGAAAATTTAGAGTCAGAAAACCTCTGAATGAATATTAAAAGTTCATATTCTTTGAGTCACTGAATGACTAAAATGTGATCCCTCCACTTGGATCCACACAGTTTAAAAATTTTAAATGTCTGAGCTTTGAAAGACAAGGTGTTGGAAAGAGAACAACGATGGCAACGTTTTGAGGGTAAAATCATACCTGTAGAGCAAACACTGAGGACACAGCAGCAGTTGAAAGAGAAGTGTTTAAGATGAATCTTGGCAGAGTGAGAGACAGAGCTAGTTAAGCAGGCAGGTGTGAGCCTGGTTGCTATAGTGACTGCACCCAATGGCTCCATACACACGCACACAGACATGCGCCTCACTTCTGCTGCTTAAAATGAACAGAAAAGTCATGTGAGTGAAGTTGGCCCCCCCACCTTCTTCAAATCCAACAAAAGTGGTATCAAACGTTTGTGCTACGTTTTTGCTGGTTTGTGCTGCAAAAATTTTCATTTGTGCTACTTTTATTTTAAAGATATTAATCAAAATTTCTAGAGGTCATCAGAGGTCAACCAGCTCCCCCACATTACCCAAACCCAACAAAAGTGGTATCAAACGTTTGTGCTACGTTTGTGCTGCTAAAATTGTCGTTTGTGCCGCTTTCATTTTAAAGATATTAATGAAAATGTAAAGGTCAACCAGCCCCCCCACATTAATGGAATCGAACAAAATTGATGTCAAATGTTTGTGCTACGTTTGTGCTGGTTTGTGCTGCTAAAATTGTCGTTTGTGCCGCTTTCATTTTAAAGATATTGATAAAAATTTCTAGAGGTCATCAGAGGTCAACCAGCCCCCCCACAGTAATGGAATCAAACAAAACTGGTGTCAAACGTTTGTGCTACGTTTGTGCTGGTTTGTGCTGCTAAAATTGTCGTTTGTGCCGCTTTCATTTTAAAGATATTACCAAAAGTTTCTAAAGCTCAACCAGCCACTTTCTTTACCGTAAAGAAATTGAGAGATATTAACCAGCATTGGATATTTTTTTCTTATGATCACACTCTTAAACCTAGTAATCAAACTGCAATAACTTATTTAAAAACTAGGTTAACTAGAAAAATTTGCATTTCCTGCGAAAATGCAGTGTGGATGCTTTAAAGCTGAAGCTGTATGCAAAAACTAGCTGAAAAAGCTGAAAAGTTGCAGAAATTGTAAAAACTTTGCAGAAGCAAAGGAACTTTGCTAAAATGGAATAACTTAGCAGAACTGCAATATCTTAGAGGAAACATAATACTTGGCAGAAATACAATAGCATAGCAGAACTTAGCAGAAATATTGTAACTTACCAGAAACATGATAACTTCTCAAAAATACAAGAATTTAGGAGAAATAGTTTAAGATAACAGAAAGAATATATTTAGCCAAAAATACTTAAACATTACAGAAACACTATGATTTAGAAAAATAGTGCAACATAGCAGAAATACTGTGATTTACCAGAGACACTGTGATGAGCTATGAATATTGTAATTTTAAATGAAAACTATGTTTTTGCACAAATACTATAATTTGGCAGAAATACTATCATTTTGCAGAAATACTATGATACAGCACAAATACTCCGGTTTAGCACAAATATTATAACATAGCAGAATACACTTATATAGCAGAAATGTTATATTTAGAAAGAAAAATATAATATAGTAGAAATACTATGATTTAGCAGAAATACTGTAATCAGCACATATACTGTAACATGACAGAAATTCCTCCACTTAGTTTTAATACTATAACATAAGACAAATGTTATGATTTGGCACAAAAACCAAGATTTGGCAAAATACTATGATTTAGCAGAAATACTATGATTGAGCAGAAGTACTAAGATGTAGTAAAAGCACTTTGATTTAACAGAAATACAATTATGGAGGAGTAATACTTTAAAATGGGAGAAATATTGATACACACACACATACACAGAGCCTAAAGGGAAGAGTATTTGTGCCATGGAGTGTTAACAAGAATCTGAGGTCCATATTAGAAAAGCTGGTAAAATCATAAAAGTTTGCAGAATACTGTAAAAGGCTTTCTCTCTCTGTGTGTGTGTGTGTCTTGCACACACCCACACACACACACGGCGAGAGAAGCAAGTTTCTAGGTCTGGGAGCAGCTAAATTTGAATCCACCAATCAGAGAGGCTGTGTACTTTTTCCCGCCAAAACAGGTGCACGCAGCACAGAGAGACACAGGATTTTTGCAGTCTATTTCTCATAGTGAGGACTCCCCTCCAACAAATGACCATAATTTCCTAACCATAGGGGCTAGAACGGTCATTCTTACATTCTTTTGTTCAGAAGAGATGGGGGAATCTTCCAGTCTTGACAATTTATTATTAAAATATGAGCCTTATGTCTTAACTTTGCTTCGTTAAGGAGATATGACAATTCGAATATGCCTCTCATTACAGAAATCAAGCGGTGATTTTGAACAAGCTCTCCATTGACTTTCTATGGAGAGTTTTGTGACATTGTGTTGGTCTGAGGAGATTTGCCAAAATTCTATAAATTCCACAACAATGATAGTGACATTTCCTGAAAGCCAGCAAAAATACCTACGTTTTGATGTATAATTTGTGGAAGTTGAGTGAAAATTGAGCAAGTAGCAAGAAGTTGTTCGGACATGAAGAGAAGACTGCAAAACCTTCAGTGGCACACTGGAAGCCAAGTGCATAGCAACCATAACAACGCATGTATTTTGTGAAAAATCACAATTTTGCAACTGAAAACTTTAAGAGGCATAAAAGTAAAACGGTAAAAGATTTGAAAAAGCTGATTTATACCTGAATAGCCCAATAACTTGAGAACATTTTAAAGTTTGAATGGTTGTTCTACGTGAAAATATGAGGAAGTAGTTAAGTTTCAAAAACAAGCAAATTTTAGCAGAATTGCAGAAGTTTCCCATTCATTTCAATGGGACAAATTAAGCTTAATATTTTAAAAAGTATAATAGTGAAAAATACCAAAAGACATAGCCATAATTAGCAGAAATAGCAGAATAGTTTAAAATTTGAACGGTGAAAATCGGCTGAAAATTGTGGAAGTAGTTAAGTGCCAAAAAGTGTACGGAAGTCCCAAGAGGAACTCAATAGTGTGGATGCTTAAAGCATCCACACAAATATAGCATTTAAAATAATTAATGCATTCGGTTAGAGAAAAAACCTTATTTGCTGGTAACAAAATACAAAACTACGAGAACAATGTAGTATATATGTTTCCTGTTAGAAAAGGTAAATACATTGAACTGTCTGAGCCTCACAAGTCTAATACAATAACTGAAAAATAACAGCTATTTCCATCATCTAACTCACAAACTAGAAAAGGACTTTCTTTCATGAGATCTTGCCATCATTCCTTTGTGTAGAGCACAGCGTGCGGACATGCGCTGGTGTTTTCAGATGCTATGGTTACATCCTTTCTTAGGTCATCATACATCTCCCAGATGTACGGGGTCCTGTTACAGAATGTCATATAATGCCCGAGTGTTTCTGGTGTTGGGCCCTCCTGAAATGTAATGACTGCTTTCAGTGTGAATTTCTCTCCTTGAAGTAGCAGAGTGGATGGGAATTCAGTAAGCAAAAACCTTTTTGGACTGTGAAAACTGTGCTCCAGAGTTTCTGTAGAGCATTTTCCAAGGTCTGTGTCAATCCATACAAGCTCTCTCAGGGTGAAACTGTGACAAACAGTCCCTGTGCAAAGTTGCTTTCCTGATGAATCTGTTTTAAATGCTGTTGGAGATGCATCAGGACTTTCGATTGGTCTTAGGCATGGCGATGCTGGAAGGTTGAGCCCTTGTTCAACAGCAGACTGAAGGTGAGCTATGCCAGAAGCTGAGAGGACTGACAGATCAATGGAAACAAAAGGTATTTGCCTTGTGTTTGGTGTGTAAAGTTTGCAGTACTGGGAGGAACACTGTCTTGTGAAGTGAACACTTGGATTTTCCGTCATTGTTTTTTGAATTACTGTGGACACATGGCACTGTGCATCAACACGATGAACACCAGTCTTCAACTGAACAGGGCAGAATATTGAGCTCAGCACCTCTGCCCTCAATGAATAGGCATGTTGAGTGACACCCTTTGAAGCAAGGGATTTCACAAGCTGGAATACTTTGTTCTCCTCTGAACTATTCAACATGTTTTGAGCAGTACGACTGTCACAGTAAGCGCAGCACAGACTTTGACAGAAGGCATCAAAGGCACAGGTGTTCATGACACAGTATTGTCCTTTGCCAAGTTTTACTGCACTGTAAACCCCAACAGTCTACCTGACTTATAAAGTTTGTGGATATAACAATTGAAATTCCTCAAAGTTGAAACAACTTAAAACTTTTGTTCTGTTAACGATTCAAACAGTTATAATTGTACATGGCTTAGAAGTTAAGAGTAAATACTGCTTTCTTAATTATGATTTTTGAGTAAATGTTTTTTTTCTGAGCTCCGCATGTGTATGTGAACTACGTCATGACTTTTTCTCTCTAACCTGAACGACGTTGACAGAAAATTCTGTTCAATATGGCTGCCCTTCTCGAGCGACTGGAGAGCACATTTGGAGAAACTTGTAAGTAAAACGGAACCTTTGTTATGTTTATTTTTTCCGTAAAAAAGCAAGTATATTAATATGTTACAGGTAAGAACTTCGATTTCGAATGCGCTGTTGTGTTAAAAAGCACAGACCCAGGTGGTGAATAGTGGTTCGCTGTTGTTCGCGCTCTTTTTCAAACATAGATTATGTCGTCAGTTTTAACCGATTAAAAGAGTTTTACTAAGAATTACATAAAAAGAAAGGGTCTTAATGATATTTTAACGACCACTTGCCAACGCAAGAAAGTTGGCGTTTTTACAACAGCAGCCTCATTGTTCGGCAGGTTTTTTTTTTCTTCTTCTCATTAGCATGATTCAAAACTGACTTAGCTAGCAGTGGCAACTTCAATCTAAAACAATTGAAATATAGCAAGGTTTTGTATATTTAGTGTGCTAATAAGGTTTTCAATATTTTTATTTTTTCCTTCCAAAGCTGAAGACCGAAGACAAAAGGACAGAAGAAAAAAAAAAATTCAGACTGCAATTAATTTCAGGTGGAGACAGTAAACACAGGTGAGTTGAAAGATCTATTGAAGAGTCCTTTCTTCATGGCCATTAAAACATTTTTAGGTTAAAAGACCCGTGTCATGAATCGCTGTGCGGCAGGCAGGAGTTGGACCCAATTCAATTCAATTTTATTTATATAGCGCCAAATCACAACATAAGTCGCCTCAAGGCGCTTCATAGATACAGAGAAAAACCCAACAATCAACAATCAACCCAACAAGCTGTAGATAATATTACATCTGTGGGATGATTATTGGTAATTTTTTCTCTAATGATAAAAATTTTATTTGTGAAGACGTCCATGAAGTCATTACTAGTTAACGTTAAAGGGATGGTTGGCTCAAAAGAGCTCTGACTTTTTGTCAGCCTGGCTATAGTGCTGAAGAGAAACCGGGAGTTATTCTTATTTTCTTCAATCAGTGACGAATAGTAAGATGTTCTGGCTTTGCGGAGGGCTTTCTTATAAAGCAGCAAACTATTTCTCCAGGCTAAATGATGATCCTCTAAATTTGTGACACGCCATTTCCTCTCCAGCTTACGAGTCATCTGCTTTAGGCTACGTGTTTGAGAATTATACCACGGAGTCAGGTACTTCTGATTAGAGACCTTAGTTTTCACAGGAGCTACAGTATCCAGAGTCGTATGTAGTGAGGAGGTGAAATTGGGGGTAGCAATCAGATAGCTGCTCTGCTCTATGTTGGTACAGGGCATTGAAGATGATAACAGTGGGTGGATTATATTCTTAAACTTAGTTACAGCGCTTTCAGAAAGACATCTACTTTGATAAAGTCTATAGATACCCAAAATGCAGGACTCAGACTCAGGGGATGAACTCAAAATCACAGCTTTAATTGCTAGTCACAGAAAACGAGCATACAAAATTAAACTGGGAAAATATAAACTCACACCTTGCAGAGAGGCACACAAAGAAACACACAGCTTAAGGGACGACGCAGCACTGACTCAGAGAAACACAGGGTTTAAATACAATGGGAAGTAACGAGGGGAATGAGACACAGAAGGAGAGCACAGCTGGGAGAAATCAGAACTGACGAGACAAGGGAGCAAAGTAGGATACACTCACATGAGACACAGACCTTCAAAGTAAAACAGGAATTAGCACAGATGCAAACTACAATAGGGGAGACAGAGCAACTAAGAAACACAGAGGGCAGCTACCAAATACTCAGAACTAAACAGAATACAAGAAAACCAAACTAAGACACTACACTAAAGAATACGCTGGGACAACAAAGAGAACTAAGAACATAATACAAAAAACTCAGAGGCACAAGAAACTCAAAACACTGGGTCACTGACCCAGGACCGTGACAACCTGTTTTGTTTTTTTGTTTTTTTTTTAAATGATGCCCTGGCTTTGTCACACTGAATCATGTTGAAAAGATATATTTTCATGGCTCCCCCCATTACCATTTCCTTGTACTTCTTTCTACCAGTCTATTTTATTTTGTGACATTAACATCTTAAATGTACCCCACCAGTTTAATTATTAATAGCTATGTTAGTATTTATAATGCCTTTTTCTTTTTTTTATCATGTGCAGATCTATCAAGGGTCAGTGGCACAGTTCACCTTTTGTGGTAAGTTATAACACTTCATATGTGGTCACATAAGTAAGTTGTTTCATTCAATTCAATTCAATTCAACTTTTTCAATTCAATTCAACTTTATTTATATAGCGCCAAATCACAACATAAGTCGCCTCAAGGCGCTTCATAGATACAGAGAAAAACCCAACAATCATATGACCCCCTATGAGCAAGCACTTTGGCAACAGTGGGAAGGAAAAACTCCCTTTTACAGTTTTTTACAGTCGCTAACAAGCGCCTACCCATACTTCAGATACTTTTTCTAAACTCTTAACACAGACCCACACCTACAAAACACAATTGGCCAAATGGATAATATCCTTCCCAAAAATACACTTTGTTAAATATATACTAACTCCTCATTTCAAAATTAGAACACATCTTTCTCTGCACACACTAACTGTACAAAAACACTATAAACCTGACTCAAAATGAAATTAGTCTGTCAAAGAATAACACTTGTTTTCACTTCACAAGGTACATGCAGTCAATCAAAGTACACCAGGTTTCAAAATACTGGCTATTATTGACATTACAAAAACTGCATAGACTTTTATGTTTCAGTTTCACAGGTATTTGCATGCGAAACATGCAATCCACCATATTGACACCAGAAATGTCTTGGTTGGTAACTGTATGTCCACATGTACAGTAATGTTCACATTCAAAAGCATTCCAGTAAAAAGCAAACAAGTTTTTGTTTCTTTACTGTTTACCACAGGAGGTACAGTAGAAACACGGTATGATAGGACAGAGAAAGTTTTACAGTATTGCTTACAGTGAACAAAATATCCATGAAACACACAAGAGCATTCTGAACAAAAAAACAACAGCAAAAAGCCAAGATAAAAAGGGGGGGAGGGGGGCTAAAAAAAGGCAAAAAAGTTGCATCTAATCTCTGCGATCTTCAGGGTTAGGCCACATGTTTTCATCAACATCACATCTGATGTCAGCCAAGTCAATGCACCTGGGATAAAACCGCCTGGTATGTCGGATCCACCCTTGGCAATCGTCAACTGTGATGTCCCTGGAGCCAGCATCCATGGCTTCAAGGAGGGACATCTGGTCATGTGGCTGATGGTCATAAACCTTCCACCGCCATGCAGAAAAGAACTCCTCTATGGGGTTGAGGAAAGGTGAATAGGGTGGAAGGAAGAGACTCACCAGTCTTGGGTGGACTTCAAACCATGTTGTTATTGCTTGCGAGTGATGGAAAGCCACATTGTCCCAGGTAATTACAAAGGTCTTCATGTTTTCACCCTCCTGACCCTGCTCTGGAACCAGGCGCTGGTGGAGATCATTGAGAAAGGCAAGCAAGCGCTCTGTATTATAGGGTCCAACCTGACATCTGTGAAGGAGTAATCCTGCATTTGCAATTGCTGCACACATGGTAATGTTTGCCCCTCTCTGTCCTGGCACATCAACTGTGGCCCTTTTTCCAATTACATTCCGTCCACGTCGACGCCTTTTGGCCAGATTGAATCCTGCCTCATCGATGTATATGAATTCATGAGGGGCCTGGTTGGCCTCCAATTCCATAACTCTCTGAAACAAAGTTTATGTAAGTCATGTTAGTACTGTATACCATACTGTACTGTAACCTAGTATTGTGTAGGTTACCTACTTGCAAAGTGCAAAGCTTATAGAACTGGACATTGGATTGAATATACACTGTACCTGGACATATTGTCGTCGTAGCTCCTTGACCCTCTCACTGTTCCTCTCAAAGGGAACAGTGTAGAGCTGCTTCATCCGCACTCTATGTTTGGACAATGTCCGCGAAATGGTTGTGAGGCTGATTCTATCGATATTGTCGAATATCTCATGGTCCGCCACAATTCTGGTTTGTATTTCACGCAGTTTTATTGCATTATTTGCAGTAACCATTTCCACAATGGCAAGCTCCTGATCATTACTGAGGAGCTTTCCTCTTCCCCCAGAGGGTGGAAGACGTTGCATTCTTTAGAAAGACAGACAATTCAACATATGCATTACTGTATGACCATATTGACATGTCAAGTGAGAATAGGAACAATCCATGTAAAATGCAATACTTACCTGTTGGTTTGTTGAAAGGTGCGTATAATGGAGGCAACCGTTGACCGCCTCAAATTGGGCTGCACTCTTTCACCAGCCTCTCTTAGTGAAAGACCATGGTTGATTACATGGTCAATGATAGTGGCACGGATTTCATCACTGACTACTGTTCTTGCAGCCCTTGGAATGCCACCACCACGCATTCTTACACCTATACCTTGCCCTCTCCTTGGGCCTGCTCTTCTCTCTGGGCCCCTTGCTCTTACTCCTCCTCGACCAGACATTACAGTGTTTGTCTTTTTTTTGTTTCCAAAAACATCACTCCTCAAGGTCTTGCCTTATGAACCCCACTGAGTCTAAGCCAGAATGGAAGGAGGTGTGGTTGGCCCAATTTACCCAACATAAATCAGCTGTGTGTCAATTATTCAATTGTTTGTTTGTTTACAGCTGAGATATATTTTTGATATTGATATTGTTTTTGTACTGATATCATTGCAGGGGCAGAGGTTTTTATACTGTATCTACGGTTTGGAATATTGTTTTTGCTATTGTGGGATGTTGTGTGTTAACATTCGTAGATACTACAAGAACAGTCCATAGTTTTGTTGGGAGGTATAACTTGTCTGTTAAGAAAATGTAAGCATTGTGGAAATGTGTTCACTGACTGCATATTGGGTGAACACGACCTGAAATGTGTGAATGGTATGGCCACAACAGACCGATCCTGTGCTAATTGTGTTTAGAGTTTTGCAAATGTGACAACTGTTTGGACAAACGCTTGTTAGCGACTGTAAAAAACTGTAGCAGGAAGAAACCTCCGGCAGAACCAGGCTCAGGGAGGGGCGGCCATCTGCTGCGACCGGTTGGGGTGAGAGAAGGAAGACAGGATAGAAGACATGCTGTGGAAGAGAGACAGAGGTTAACAACAGATATGATTCAATGCAGAGAGGTCTGTTAATACATAGTGAGCGAGAAAGGTGACTGGAAAGGAAAAACTCAATGCATCATGGGTATCCCCCGGCAGCCTATGTCTAATGCAGCATAACTAAGGGAGGATTCAGGGTCACCTGGTCCAGCCCTAACTATATGCTTTAGCAAAAAGGAAAGTTTTAAGCCTAATCTTGAAAGTAGAGATAGTGTCTGTCTCCTGAATCCAAACTGGAAGCTGGTTCCACAGAAGAGGGGCCTGAAAACTGAAGGCTCTCCCTCCCATTCTACTTTTAAATACTCTAGGAACAACAAGTAGGCCTGCAGAGCGAGAGCGAAGTGCTCTAATAGGGTGATATGGTACTACAAGGTCATTAAGATAAGATGGGGCCTGATTATTTAAGACCTTGTATGTGAGGAGCAGGATTTTGAATTCAATTCTGGATTTAACAGGAAGCCAATGAAGGGAAGCCAAAATAGGAGAAATATGCTCTCTCTTTCTAGTCCCTGTCAGTACTCTTGCTGCAGCATTTTGGATTAGCTGAAGGCTTTTCAGTGAGTTTTTTGGACATCCTGATAATAATGAATTACAGTAGTCCAGCCTGGAAGTAATAAATGCGTGAACTAGTTTTTCAGCGTCACTCTGAGACAGGATATTTCTCATTTTAGAGATATTGCGCAAATGGAAGAACGCAGTCTTACATATTTGTTTAATATGTGCGTTGAAGGACATGTCCTGGTCAAAAATGACTCCAAGGTTCCTCACAGCGTTACTGGAGGCCAAGGTAATGCCATCCAGAGTAAGAATCTGGTTAGATACCATATTTCTAGGCTTTTCAGGGCCGAGTACAATAACCTCAGTTTTATCTGAATTAAGAAGCAGAAAGTTAGCGGCCATCCAGGTCTTTATGTCTTTAAGACATTCCTGCAGTTTAACTAATTGGTGTGTGTTATCTGGCTTCATGGACAGATAGAGCTGGGTGTCATCTGCATAGCAGTGAAAATGTATGCTGTGTCTTCTAATGATGCTGCCTAAGGGAAGCATGTATAATGTGAACAGAATTGGTCCTAGCACTGAACCCTGTGGAACTCCATAATTAACCTGTGTGTGAAGAGGACTCTCCATTTACATGAACAAACTGGAGTCTATTAGATAGATATGATACAAACCACTGCAGTGCAGTACCTGTAATACCTACAGCATGTTCTAATCGCTCTAATAGGATATTATGGTCGACAGTATCGAATGCTGCACTAAGGTCTAGCAGGACAAGCACAGAGATGAGTCCACTGTCAGAGGCCATAAGAAGATCATTTGTAACCTTCACTAAAGCTGTTTCTGTGCCGTGATGAGCTCTGAAACCTGACTGAAACTCTTCAAATAAACCATTCCTCTGCAGATGATCTGTTAGCTGTTTGACAACTACTCTTTCAAGGATTTTTGATATGAAAGGAAGGTTGGAGATTGGCCTATAATTAGTTTCATCAGTTGTTCAGTTCTTATAAAATGTTGTATAATTGTACCAAATCACTGAGGATACATCCAATGTGTAAATCACAATCAACAATTTTACTGTGACATTCGCTCGTGTTTAGAGAATCTCCATTATCTTTGTTACTGAGTTTCCATTTTTGTAGGGCCAAATTTGTATTAAAAATTAATATTTTCATATGATGTGAAATGACTCAATCATTTCTAATTTTTAGAAGAAACCATTCATTAAGTCCCTTAAGGTGAAGATTTCATATATTGATAATGATAAAATTAACACAAATTAAAGGTTTCACTGATAAACACAATTTTTCCTTGCTTTGAACCCCATGTTCTATATAGATTACAGCTCTGATCTGGAGAACACTATTTTAAAATACTGTGTAGGGTTTTTGTCAAATGATTAAGAAACAGACTCTCTGTCACAAGAGACAGAAAGGTTGTATCTTAAAAGAAAAGTCTCCAAAATTTGGTAGAGTCTGATGTCATGCAGTTTCATAAACATGTATTCTCCCCAAAGAATGACACCTGAAAACTTTGCGTTAAATGAACTTTTCTTTTCCCTTTTTAGGAGGCGCCTGATATCAACGTGAAACGCACTGCAGTACTTCGTGCCCTTCCTGTATGTCTATGTCTGTGTCAATTTTGGGCTCCTGAGAGGGGTTATCATCCACTTCCTGCTCCACAAAGGCTTTGTGTGGATACTGACGCTTCACTGTACCATCCTGTCTGGCAACCTCTGCTTCTTTTCGTATTTGTTTTGCAGAACAGATCCGCATGTTCCCTTCAATAAAACCAAGATGACGTGCAATGAATTTATCTATCCTTATAGGGAGATTTTCATGCTTGAACAGACCATGTTTAATGTTCTTGAACTCTGGTTCAACATTAGCTGAAGTTGCAGTGAGTTTTTCGCTCTGAAATAGGGGAACCATTTCTCCAGTCCAGAGTGGTAGGTATCCTCCCAATCTAATTAGGTGTGGGACGAGCTCAGGTAGATAGTGCATATTGTCTCGATCACCATGATCTTCAGCATGGCACCTGCTCCCCTCACAAATATCTGCCACCCACTGCCTTAAGTCGGTGTTTATTTCTGTGCATGGATCCAATCTAATGTCTTCTTCTTCCTTGTCATCAGAAACAGACATAGTCTCATCTGCAATTTTTCTTTTCAGATTTGATTTGGACACTTCTGACATAATGGGGTTTCCAAAACTGTCACAGCCTTCTGTCTCACTTAATGCCACAATAGCAATGCTGCGTGTTCGGACCTTTGCTTCTTCCAAGGATTGGGACTTGACAAGTTGTGCCATTGATCGCACGTAGGCTTTTTTCTCAAACAGTCCCACTGGCAAATCATTTTGATTAAGTGTGCCACACCCACTCTAATGAAACATTCAATTCAATTCAATTCAATTTTATTTATATAGCGCCAAATCACAACATAAGTCGCCTCAAGGCGCTTCATAGATACAGAGAAAAACCCAACAATCATATGACCCCCTATGAGCAAGCACTTTGGCAACAGTGGGAAGGAAAAACTCCCTTTTAACAGGAAGAAACCTCCGGCAGAACCAGGCTCAGGGAGGGGCGGCCATCTGCTGCGACCGGTTGGGGTGAGAGAAGGAAGACAGGATAAAAGACATGCTGTGGAAGAGAGACAGAGGTTAATAACAGATATAATTCAATGCAGAGAGGTCTGTTAATACATAGTGAGTGAGAAAGGTGACTGGAAAGGAAAAACTCAATGCATCATGGGTATCCCCCTATTGCAGCATAACTAAGGGAGGATTCAGGGTCACCTGGTCCAGCCCTAACTATATGCTTTAGCAAAAAGGAAAGTTTTAAGCCTAATCTTGAAAGTAGAGATAGTGTCTGTCTCCTGAATCCAAACTGGAAGCTGGTTCCACAGAAGAGGGGCCTGAAAACTGAAGGCTTTTATTCGATTCCATTACTGTGGGGGGGCTGGTTGACCCCTGATGACCTCTAGAAATTTGTATGGATTTCTTTAAAATGATAGCAGCACAAACAACAATTTTAGCAGCACAAACCAGCACAAACGTTTGACATCAATTTTGTTCGATTCCATTAATGTTGGGGGGCTGGTTGACCTTTACATTTTCATTAATATCTTTAAAACAGAGGCAGCACAAACGACAATTTTAGCAGCACAAACCAGCACAAACGTTTGACATCAATTTTGATTCCATTAATGTGGGGGGGCTGGTTGACCTCTGATGACCTCTAGAAATTTGTATGGATTTCTTTAAAATGATAGCAGCACAAACAACAATTTTAGCAGCACAAACCAGCACAAACGTTTGACATCAATTTTGTTCGATCCCATTAATGTGGGGGGGGGGGGGGGGCGGGGGTTGACCTTTTGACCTTTACATTTTCATTAATATCTATAAAACAGAGGCAGCACAAACCAGCACAAACGTAGCACAGTTGATTGACACCAGTTTTGTTTGATTCCATTAATGTTGGGGGGCTGGTTGACCTCTGATGACCTCTAGAAATTTGTATGGATTTCTTTAAAATGATAGCAGCACAAACAACAATTTTAGCAGCACAAACCAGCACAAACGTTTGACATCAATTTTGTTCGATCCCATTAATGTGGGGGGGGGTTGACCTTTTGACCTTTACATTTTCATTAATATCTATAAAACAGAGGCAGCACAAACCAGCACAAACGTAGCACAGTTGATTGACACCAGTTTTGTTTGATTCCATTAATGTTGGGGGGCTGGTTGACCTTTACATTTTCATTAATATCTT